GCGGCGGCGGGCGGCAGGATGCAACCGCGCGCTGCGTTGCGCAATGTGCCCTCCGCTCTTCCTCCGTCACCCTTCCGCCGCCCTCGCTGTGACCGACGAAGTGTTCTCCGTCAGCGTTGGAATTGCATCATGTGCTTCCTCACTCACCCTTTTCTCTCTCTCTCTCTCTCTCTCTCTCACATTCTCGCTCTCCAGCTTTCCATCCTGAACACATCTTGCGGGATGAGCGCGCGGCTACAGTTTCGAGGAGGCGAAGCACCTCGCGCAGGATAAAAGGATTTGTTTTACTGCCATTGCGCGCGGCGGCGGCGGCGGCGGCGGCGGCGGCGGTGGCAGGAGCGAAGACGGAGATTTGAATAGCGTTGTCGCCGCGTTCGTCGTACAACGGCGGAACGCTAAATTGTCGGAATCGCGCGACCGATAATTCGCACCGTCGACACACACACACACACACACAGGGAAGAGTTGCGGTGTTTTACCGTCGGAATTGCTTTCCCTCGGCGCTCGAGGATGTCTCTCTGGCTTTCGCCGCATTCCCGGCGAATCCGGCGGCCTCGCTCTGTTTCAAGCCGCTGCGTAAGCCGTGTAAGCGAGGACTCGAAGCTACTTTGCGAAAAACGTATTGATATCCTTTGAAAGATCAACGAGCGCGGTCGCGTGCCAAAGTCGAAAATTACCGGCCGCCGCTTTCCGATGTTCCCCGGTGAGCGTCTTATGATCTGAGGCTGATTGTAATTTTGTAATTAGCGAGTCGTCACAGAACGCGAGTGCCGACAATCTTATTCCACCGTTAATTCACGCAATCGCAATTGATGGGCGCGCTTCTTGCAGATGGAACAAAAGCGGATGTAAATTCAGAATTCAGCCCTACGTTGGGCGCAATTTTTTTTCTTCCTTTTTTCTTTTCCTTTCCACCCCGGTTCTCTCCGTTAATTTCGCCATTTCTGCATTTGCACGTGACACGTTCCTGCCGGGATAGGCAAGGAAATCGCGCGGGCGCGCGCGTTTCACGAATTGTAAGTCCGTTTTCCCGTCCCGAGAATGAAAATGTCTGCCCCATTTATCCCACGCGACAAGATTTCTAATTACGCGAGTCTAATCCAGTCGCGCGACTATTTCGCCCCGTAAGAACTGATAACTCCGGCCGAGGAGGGTGGACGTTCGCCTTGCCCCTTTCAATTACCATAATTAACATTCCCCAATGATGGGATTTCGTCCGGGAGCAACGGGCCCCGGCGACGATGTGCAGGCTGGCGCGAATTCGTCGAAATAATCCGCGACGGGGCATTATGAATTTCCTCGCTCGACATCGGGATCGCCAGGTAGAAGTCGCAAGATAAAGGTCTCTCTCGCGCATGCGTTCGGCGCATTTAAAATATTAGGGGTGCCGGAACGTCTTTCCGTACTTTAAAGCCTTCAATTTTCGTGGTGGTGGTTATAGTACGAGTCCTTAATTTTAATCCAGAACTAATTTAAATTCCACGTTAGTTAACGACGACATTTCCTTATCGTGTGTATTAATTTTCGATTAAGATCGAATTTGGAAAATGGCAAACTTGGAGAAACGAAAAGACTTTCCGGTACCCCTAATGTATCACTGTGAGACTTACGGAGGAACTGCCGTCCTTCCGACGGAATTCTGCCGGAAGAGGAGAGAGACAGAGCGATGAAATTGCTCGACCTCGCGATTCGCCGCGACAGTCGACGCCCCGGCGACTCATTCGCGCGTCGAATCTTCGGCTATGAAAAAGTCCATCGTTACCGCGAGACGCGAACGTCCCTCGATATCATCGCGCGCATGCCTCGCGCATGAGCGAATAAAATTCCTCCCGGATATTCCGGCTTCTCGCGGTCGCGGCAATAGCGCGCGGCCATTCCGCCGTGATCTTACGTGCGTGTTTCACGACATCGTTTCAATGCCGTTGCGCGTTACGGTAACGACTCCGCGCGAGCGGCGCAGCTGACGTGTGTGGGGCAGCTCGCGCGTTTCCGCGTTTGTGACTCATCCTCGTCGATTCGTCATCTCGACCGGTCGTATCGCGGCCGCGTCCACGAGGGAAATTACGCAAAATCAACAACCGCCGCTTGCCCAAGTCGCTGTCGTTTCGCCGGATACGGCTGAATTCACATCACCCGCCGTCCAGACGGCGGCAGCCGTCCGTTAAAAAAACATTCTTCGGTGCTTTCTCATCGGAGTGTTTGGTATCCGCCACCGACACATTTTAACCATCCCTGTTAAAAAGAGAAGAAATTGACGGAAGCTCGACGGAGCGTCCTGCTTGCCGTCGTTTGACGAATAATGTGAATCCAGCCCAACTGTCTCTCTCTCTCTCTCTCTCTCCCCCTCCCCCTCTCTCTCTCTCTCTCTCAACCCTTTAACGCCCGACTTTTTTAACAAGTGTTTTAAGAATAAAATTTAAGTTTTTTTGAACTGAGACTATAAGTAGTGATAACCAAAAAAAATGCCAGAATTTTATATTTACGAAAAACTACGGAATTTTCTGACGTATCAAATGATTCTTGATTTTTTTCAAAGCGTCTTCTTGTATTTTTGTTTATTGTTTATTGGTAAATATGACTTGGGTCTTAAAAGCGAATATACGAAATGAGCAACCTACACAGAGAAGAATGAAGGGTAATCTACACGACATAACTCTGATAGTCAGCTTGACATTTTTGAGCTGAAACTTTACTATATTTGTGAATGAAGTTTATCACTCAGAGCGTCAAGCTTACTATTTCAAAAGAATATCTTATAGATCACCATTTAGATAGTCAATCGTCCCTTCATTTTTCGCCGCATAAAAAGCGCTGTAGGCCAGGTTTTACGAAATTAGGTTGATTTCTTGATTTTCGTGTCCACCATATTGGATTCGCCATTTTGAATTTCTGTATTCTTTTAATTTCACATTTTGCATCTGAGAAAGCTTCCAAATGTATAAAATTATAACAGATACCAATCTATTCATTTATAGTGCACTTCTAGATGTCAGTAACAATGCTAACTATGCCTACTTGGAATTTGACAAAACACAATTAAAATTGAGCTAAAAACAGACTAAACCGAATCTACATACAATTTATATGCCATTTTTTAGAAGAAGAATTCACCTTTACAGTAGTGCAAAGAAAACGAACATATCTCCTTTTTTGACTAAGTTATGGACTCTTAAATGCGTTTCTGGTAACTATAGTTACCAGTAGGCGTTAAAGGGTTAGAAAGCAATTTTTAACCAGATCATTTTACATGACGAGACTCTCTCTCTCGCGCGATATCGGCCTGCCATGATCAACCGAATTGATCTCCCGATATTAATATTAAAACAATCGGTTGGAAGTTGTAGGGCGGCCTCAGCGAGGAAATTTCACTTCCGACGAATCCGATCGTTCGTGGATAAATGGGTGGCCTAATCCGCCGAGAGCTGTGAGATTTATAGATGGCCGATACAAGAGGCGCACGATGTTCATCCGGCTGTAACGAGAAGCCTCGTATGCTTCTGCGGAACGGGGGGGGGAGGGGGCGGACGTTAATGTTTAAAAATCCGACGGCAGAAATCGCCCCGCGTCGTCGCCGGCGTTCCGTATAAATTCAGAGCGATCGCGAAAGGGTTAATAATCCGACAGGCTGATCTCATGTTTAGCCGGGGTCGTAACGGCCGACCTACCGGCGTGGGGGGTAGGGGGTTGGAGGAAGGGTTGGTGATCATGCCGCGCGTTTCACAGCGCGGTTTGAATTTCGACTTGAATGCGAGCCAATATGGGGTACATAACTTCACGCCGGCCATTAGTTTCGCCTTTACGAGGCAAATGAACCATGGCCGAGAGCGCGCGCGCTCGTAAGATCGCGGAGTTTACATTTTTAACGACGGAACACGTTCGCCCCCCGGCTGCGCTTCGAGAATTTGTTTCGCGGCCGGCGCGCGCGAGCGAGCGAGCGGGCGAGCGAGCGGGCGGACAGGCGGGCGAAACCGCAACGAAACGACCGATTCTCCTCTCGCGCGCGTTTAGAGGAATAGCGCCGCGCGTTTCGCGCGGGAGATCGATTTAACCCCCGGCAACATCGGGCCCTGATTTGTGTATTGCGCGGTGCGCGCACCGCGCGTTAGCCAGACAGCGGAAAGGGCTGGCGTGGCGGCTGGCTCGATCGTGATCGCGAGCATCGAAAGCGCATTTCCTTAAATTTAATATCGCCCCCGAAATAGGTGGACCGTTAAAACCTTCTCGCCGGGAAATACCGTCTCTTTGCGTTTGCGAAGTGGTGTTGCTAACGGCTTTGCAAAAATCGCATCTGGGAATTATATTTTTCGAGAGAGAGAGAGAGAGAGGGGGGGGGGAGGGCATGGAAAAGGATGAAAAGGAAAAGAAGCTCGAATGCCGGCGGTTGTTGGTTGCTTGGTTTGCGCGACGGTATTGGTTAATCTGTAATAAAGAGCAACGTCGAGACTACCGCATTACGTTACAATTGTCCTTACAGTCTCTCTCTCCTTTTCTCTCTCTCTCTCTCTCTGTCTCTGTCTCTGTCTCTGTCTCTGTGTCTCTCTGTCTCTGGTTTTCTCCTCTTCTCTGTAATACCGATATATCGGAATCCCGATGAGACTCGGGCATTGTCGAGTGCGACGTGGTTAGAGGTATTTCCTGTCGACGGGGGACGAACTTTAACTAGTTAAAGCCACTTTCAGTAAGGGTCGCATTGCCGTAACCTCCTTACGGGATTACGACCCTTATGGAAAATTCCGAAGGAATTGGCCAGCGACGAAGTGAAACTCATTAAATTAATTTGCCGCGAGAACAACGACACCGTCGCGTCGTCGTCGGCGGCGCAATTATGAAATTATGTGTTCGCCGATTAAAAATCGATCTAACCGCCGTCTATTTCGCCGTTCGACTGGCGAACGATGTACACGACGATTCGTTCTCACCCACCTCCGTAGCTCCTTTGCAATGCACATTCGCAATATAACGACTTGATGGTTAATCGTAGCAATTTTATTTCTTTTCAGGGCGATCGACGGAGAAGGAATGGCAGCCGGCAGGAAACTCGCGAAGTAAGTTTTGTATACACTCGTACTTCCCTTAATTTCTATTCTTTCTCTCTCTCTCTCCCCCCCCCTCTCTCTCTCTCTCTCTCTCTCTCTCTCTCTCTCTCTCTCTCTCTCTTTAGTCCGCCAAGCCGGGTTCTCCCGCTTGGCACAGAAAGATAGGGACAGAGGAGAGAGAGAGAGAGAGAGAGAGAGAGAGAGAGAGAGAGAGAGAGAGAGGGAGGGAGGGAGGGAGGGAGGAGCGAGGAGAGTGAGCGATTTTCATTAAAACTGAAATATTTCTATCGAACCGAAAGTAAGGAACAAAGGAGCGAAGTAAATCCGATAGTATCTCTTTTATTCCGTAAAAGTACAAACACGGAACGGGACGCGCTCTGGACGCATTTCGTGCCATTTGCAAAATCGGCGACTCGATAAATTGACTCGTAACATTGTTTGTCGTTGCTCGGTTCTATCGCGATTCGGCGTGGTGTATGTGTGCGAGTGTATCTGCGGCGCGGTAAACGTCGGCAGAGACGGTCGCTAAAGTTCAAAGTAATTTCGGGACACGCGGCAAAACGTTTAGCACAGATTCCTTAGCGTCCATTGACGATCCCGGAAACACGTTCGCGGCATTGTTTGAGTTTCGATTTGAACGCGGTCCAATATGTACCGCGCGCGGTACATAGTCGTCTATATTAGCTTCTCATTTGCCTGGCGCACGCGATGTTGCCGCCGATGCCATTAGACCGACAGAGAGAGAGAGAGAGAGAGAGAGAGAAAGTTAGAGTTCAAGGGAGAGAGAAGAGGGGAGAGTGAGAAAGGGTGAGAGGTAGAAAGCGGCCAATTAAATTAACTAATAATACGCGTCGTAATCACCTTACATCGCGTGCCGTCCGATCAATTACCAATTAAATAACACAGAAATGTCCCGACAAATTAATAGGGGCTATTAAGAATCAAGAATCGTACCGCATAAAAATGTAATTAATTTTAATGGCCGCGTGCGGAAAAATCGTGGCGATTGATTTTTCATTTTTAACGAGCGATTCCGCGCAACTTGCACGAGGAAATCGCTCGCGCGTGTGTGTAATGTAATATGAAAGAGAAATTTTTTCGATGCAAATTTGATTGCGTGGAACGTTGAGATAAGATTAGCCAGATCGCGGTCGCGAGATGAAGGAACCGAGGATTGTCATTCTCGACTTTATTGTGTAGAACTTTCGGATAAGATGAAAATCCAATAGAGTGCATCAGAGAGTTAACAGCGATTTGGTAATATCTACGAAGGTTCTTTCTCTCTCTCTCTTTCTCTCTCTCTCTTTCTCTCTGGCGCGCGCGCGCGCGTTCTTTCTTTCTCTTTCTCTCAAGGTACACATGTTTCGCGGCGTCGTCGTTTGAGCTTCAACTTGAACCGAAGCCAATCCGCGAGCCGGTGTTTTGTCCTCCGGAGCGCGGCGAATCGCGCCATAAGGACGATCGTTACGGCGATTCACGATAAAATCCTTATTCCACGGCTCGCCGCCACCGCCGCCCGTTTCCGTCAAGGGGGTGAAGAGAGAAGCGAAACCGCTTTCTTAAATATTATTCGCCCCCGAGCGTTCTATTATTCCACGCGAGACAGAAGCGACCAGGAATTCGATCTCGCCGTGCACGGAAAATTTTCATGGGATACAACCCGTGCATTTCTCTTGCTCTCTCGCTCTCTTCCTCTCTCTCTCTCTCTCTCTCTCTCTCTCTCTCTCTCTCTCTCTCTCTCTCTCTGCCTCTTTTTTCTCTTCCTGTCGTTCTTCTCTTCCTGCATTTTTCCGCCCTCTTTTCCTCCTCTTTTGCCTCTCTCTTCTTTTTTTCATCAGGACGAATTCGTCCCTATCGACGCGGATCGAATCGGCAGAATTATGTTGTTGCGCCGGCGAAACGAGGTATTTCGTTTCTCGCCTTCGACGCGCGGCTCCAGTGTTTTATGTAAAGACCGAACAATTTTATTCCACGTTCCTCGAGTACACTCCTTTCGTCGCGCCGTCCTTTTTTCTCACTTTTCCTCCTTCTCTTCCGGTCTCTCACTCTCCGTGCCTCTCTGTCCCTCTCCTTCGGGGACCTCCTTCCGCCGGCGTCATAAATTTCACCCGCTCTACCCCCCTCGTGCTTTTGCACTGTTACTCGCCCATATATTCCGATATCCTGGAACTCAACCTTGTTCCCGCAACCCATTTCGAAGCACTCCCGCGGTTACTTTGGCTCGCCCACCTTATACGTATATCGCGAATTCCGATATCGCGACCGCAGTGCTCTACGGATACATTCAGCAACTATATCTTCGTGCTTCACGCAGAACGGATGAGGCTTTCAGTTTCATCGTCATTCTGGGCACCCGTGAGAGCGCGTGCGAATTTATTTTGTTCGCCGTACACGTAACGAAGGACCAAGGTCGGACGAGGGTACTGATGAAGGAGGCACAATTCTGCATCTCATCGTTCAAACGATGTATTTTAATTTCATACCGACACCCTAACATCCATCTTGGCAGATATTAAGATATATATATATATGGAAGGATTCACAAGGAGAATGTAAACCGTAAATAATTATTAATGAACAAACCTTCTCCGATCGAATCTGTGCGAGAGCGCCGGCTAGCGGGCGCTTTTCAACTCATTACCTGGTTTTGCGCCAATTCGACCGAGACAGCCGCGTTTTATAAGAAAATTTTTCCATGTACACACGCGAGCTATTTTCATGCTATTTTCAAGCGGGAGTTAAAGAAACGGGCATGATGTATGAAATAGACGTCACACGCCAACGACGATCCATTATAAAACGCCAGCAGCCCGAGCAAAACCCATCGTCCATCTACCGATCGGGCTTTTTAATGCGTCCTTTTTCTGAAAGTCGTCCGCTGTTTCCCCTGTTTCGTTTTTGCGTGCGCTCCGCGGAACGTCAGCAGCGACGTGTCGTCCTCCGCTTTTAATTTACCGGCCGAAGAGCCGATTGTCCCTCGTGCGTCGTCGTCGTCTCTGTCCACGTCGAAACGATTTTCACTCTATTTGCTTAGCCGCCGTTTAACGGCCGGCCGGTGCGCGCCGCTAAAACCCACCGCAAAATACGAGGAACGGGACGCGCCAAGGAACCGTATTTTCCTCGTCTTTGATTTTTCCGACAAACTTGTTTTTCTTTTCTCCTTTTCCTTCCTTCCTTCCTTCCCTCCTTCCCTCCTTCCTTTCTCTTCCCTTTTATTTGTACACTTACCGTCGTGCACCGTACGAATCCCTTTTCCACCTCGCCGGACATTCCGATATCCTAGTACTTAACCTTGTTCCCCTCCGATCCTCCTCCCCGTCCCCCTTACCGTGACATTCTCTACTCACTGTTTAACTCCTCGCTCGTTCTCTCCTTCGTTCGTCTTTTTATCTACAAGATACCACGCTGAAATCGCGTTCGGCCGAGCGGACTCTCGACTTGTAAGTCGGCGGCATTTTTGATCGCGACGTCGTGTGTGTCGGAATGACCGCAGCGCTTGTCGTTCATTCACCCTCTAAATTTCTGTCACTTTTTACCTCGTCTTTTTAATCGGATCGACTGATCGGATTCTACTTTTACGTTTCGCTCAAGACTCAAGTTCGACTTATTGCTCCACGAAGCTTCTCACTGATTCGCTCCTCCCTCCCGTCTCTCTGTGTCGCGTATTTTTTCTCCCGCACAATTTGTCGCTCATCTCTCGATGGAGATGATATTTTAGACACAATAGAATATCCCCCCTCACCTTATTTCGCCTCGATACCCGATACATCGGCGACTCTTAACTTCCTCTCGCTGACATATCCGCCCTTTCAATGGGGGCAGAATCCATTCGACCCGACGATTTCCGTAATCCGTAATCCACTCGGTTCTCGCTCGTCGGCGTGAAATTTTAATACCAAATCGATCCTGCCGCCGCGGCTTTGTCGCCAACGCTGCGCAAACGGTATCGATTTCGACCGCCGCGCGACAATTACGATTGACGTTTCGATACGCGATCGAGGAAGCGGCCTGATCGGATTCCTCGACCCGATGTCGTTGTTGCTTTCGACAACAACGGGGCTTCAACCGGCGCGCGACCCGCTCTCTCGCGAGAGCTGCCGTTCAACTTCGAGTTCCATCATCCTAACGGCAGGATACGCTTTCTCGCCAGTGGCGTAACCAACGAGTTACAAATCCCGAACAGCCCCTGCTGCCGAAAGATGAAAAATAGGAAAGACAGAGAGAGAGAGAGAGAGAGAGAGAGGGAGGGAGGGAGGGAAAGAGAGAGAAATAAGCGAGACCGTGACGGAAAAAGAATAAATTCGTTTATTATTTCGAGACAAACGTCATCGCGCGCGAAACAAGAGCGAGAGACAATACGAGAATGAAGAATGTGAGCGTTGTACGAGACACCGAACGGCAAACGTCGACGCATCGAAATTGATAAGGAGCAAAACAGAGACAGACGAAAGACAAATACACGAACTGATTATATATATATATATATAAAATGTCGGCGCGAGAATCTTGTTGTACTTGCGCCGCGAGAATTGCGCGGTGCCGAGAATATCAATAGAGAGAAGCGGGTCAAGTATATAGCTGGATGAAATAACTTATTTATCTAACCGCTTGTTTATTTATTCGTCGCACGGGAACGATATTAAATCAACGTCACGCGCGCACGCGCACGCACGCACGCACGCACGCATGCACTCACGGGATACATTGAAAAGTGCGCAGCTTAAATAATTGATCGTCGAGAGAACTCGAAGTGGCGGCGATGGCAGCGGAGACGGATCGAAATGCGATCGGGTCAAGGGGGGAGGGAGGCAGCACGGCGGGAGGGACACCGGAGGAAGGACCCTTCGGTTTCTTCTGCGGCGGAAGGTGGTGCGCGCTCTAAGCGTGAATTACGTCACTGTCTCTTGCATTCGCGAGAGCGCGCACACTCGAATACTCGAGCCGCGTCATAAATTTGCGCCTCGCCGCCGCTCGCCGAGTTGTGCGCCGCTCGCTATTTTGCCATGAAT